ACAACATCTCTGGAACGTCTAAAGATAAAAGCCGGAAATTTTCTGTTATTTCTCATCAAGTTGTTGATTCAGAAACTAAAATTTTGGACAAGTAGCTCAAATAGCCTCTGATTGCAGGTGAGCTGAAATATGAAAAAAAAAAAATTGAAGCTGTCATGAAAAGTCACATCTTTGAGCACAAATTAAGATTTTTTTTTAAAGCATGTGTAGTTACATGACTAAATAACACAAAACTAAACATCTAAAATACTTTTAATATGAAATCTTTGGTTATAAAATTTAAATCAAGCAATTTTGAGTTAATTTTCATAACTGATTGAGCAGCTATTCCTACTAAAACTACTGAGTTGTGCTGTAAATGTGAGGCTTGTGCATTGTCAGTGACGTGTTCTTGCCTTTGTGTGCATGTGTGTTTGTTGAACAACGAACTGCAGATTAGCGCTTTGGTCAGATTAGGGCTTAAACCCCTCACACTTTAATTATAACTGTATGTATTTATGTGCATCAAGGTCTTTGGCTTGGCCTCGGCTGTAAACATCTGTCACTGCCCCCCTCCACCACCACCAGGCCGGCCTTTGTCTCTCCGTGTGCTGTGCAATAACACACAGAGAAAATTAGTCGAGTTTAGGAGGTTTTTTTTCTTTCATTTAATAAATATAATGCAGCATCCGCTTTTTATATTTACAGAAAATGCCTGGATGATAAAATTTCACCCTCCAGGCAGTCGGATATATCCGCGTTTGACAGTTTTTACTACACTTGGGCCCGCCGTTCTGCAGACTCGACATCATTGTGAGGGACAGACTCGGCGTTCGCAGTACATCACGGGTTGTGAGTCGACTCGCAGACAGACAGCATTGTTGTCTTGGGTTAACCACGGCACGCTTTCCACGCTGCCGGCGATTTGCATCTGTGCTCCGTGATCCACCCGGAGGGAATAGAAAGCTCTAATCCAATCAGCAGGTCCCCGAAGTGCTGCCCCTGAGAGACAGAGAAAAACACAACAATAGGATCACTCTGCACCGGGCCCAGCCGGGGAGGCAGACAGCAAAGACAAGGGAAAGGAAATGAGGGATTGGAGAGGAAGGGGATTAAGACTGAGGAGGAGACTGATGGGGAGCAGAGGTGCATGTGGGAGGGTCGTCCAGCCTCCAGTCGTCAGGTTTTTACAGGAATTTCTGCTCCATCATCTCTGATTTGACTGATTTGTTTACAGCTTTAATGCCACACATATGGATATTTGTGAAATTTTAACTTGATGGATCAAATTCTTATAAATTTATTTTAAAAATTGCCCGTCGCCCCACTTTAAACACATTTTTTTTGCATATTAAAGTCAAGAACTACTAAAGATAGAAGATTTTCAGTTATTTCTCATCATGTCTTTGATTTCTAATTTGCAATATTGAATATTTAAATATGCATTTTTAAAAAGGCATTCGTGAATGTTTAGCTAGATGTATCAAACACTTTCAGAGATGCTTTTTCTATTTTTTGCACATTTTTTTGCACATTGAACTCCACTATTGGCGATAAAAGCTTAAAGTCTCTGCTATTATTTCTCATGTCATGGATTCAGAATCTCCAGTATTAACTATATAAATATGACTATAAAGATATTTGGGAAATTTTAGCCTGACATGTCAAATTCTTTGCGGGGAAAAGAAAAAAAGTAAATTGCCTATTGACCCTCTTTAGCATGTTTTTCGCTCATTAAAGCCTGTTTGAGCAACGATATCTCTGAAACTATTAAAGATAAAAGCCTGAGATTTTCACTGTTATTTCTCATCATATCATTAATTCAGAATCTGAAATATTGGACAAATTGATCAAACAGTCTATTGTTATGGATGAGTTGAAATATGAGAACAAAAGTGAAGCCGCCGTGAAAAGTTCCATCTTTAAGGCACGTTAACAAAATAAATGGTGATGCAGAAGTGATGTTTTCTGAACCACATGTAGCTGCAGGTCACAATTATACAAACAAAACATATAGAATACTTTATAATATGAAATACTTGGTCACAAAAATGAAAAAAAAAGTTGTTTTCGTCAAATTTTCATAACTGATTGAGCAGTTAGGACAAGTTGTACCACAAAGATGAAGAGATATTGTCAAACCTTTCCTCAAATTTTAATCTGAAAAAAAGAAAAATACATGCTTAAAGTGGGTCGACGGACAGTTTTGTTTTTAATTATCTCAATGAATCCTTCATATTTCAGTATAAAATTTCACGTACCATCTAAAATATTCATAGTTAGTCATAAAAAAGTTTCAAGTGAATCAAAGATGGTCGAGCAAAACGGCCTGAAGACGAGAAGTTAGAGAAGTGAAAAGAGGAAAGAAGAAAGTGTGGTGAGTAAAGTAATGAAGGAGCAGAGATGAGGAACCAACCAGTAACCAAAGCAGAAAGCTGCACATGAGGATCTGCTGTTGGAGGGCCAAAGGTGGGAGGACTAATGAATAATTTCCCCATAACAGTTCCAGTAATTTGGAAGTATCTCCAGCGCTGTGACATTTTACGGGACAGAAGGAAATGTCACTCCTGGCTTTTAATCCGTCTGCGAGCGTTTCAAACCATTGTTCTTGGCTGCTCTTGCTCTCGGGCCCGAGGCAACAGTTTGACCATTTATCATCATTATGAGGCGCAAAGGCAGGACGGAGCGGTGATTAAGAACTGAATCTCCTGTTGATGATGCCTGTCATATATTGTGTCTTATTATACCTGCATGTGAGCACGTCTCCCTGCTGCCCCTTTCCTCAGTCCAACGCCTCATACAAGAGTTATATCTGCACCGCTGACCCGTTGACCCCCAGCATCATTTTTACCGTTCAGAGGACACACACCCACCGACACTCACTCACATACATTCAGAACCACCTCTGGTTTTCTGCTCACCTCTGACACTTTGTCTTGTCTCCGTCGTCCCTGAGCTTTGGCGTCGGGGTCACACAGCCTCCGCGGTTAAATCATTTAAAGGAAAGAGCTGGAAACATTTTAGACAACGAAACCAAGTGTTGTCTGTGTATTCAAATACTGATCTAGCTTCTTCCTCTGCAGCACAAAAATATATTAAAACCACATCGCTGTTGCACTTTAGTGCCATATTCTACCGTAACAGAACTCTGGACCTGCTGTTTTCTATACAGAGTCGACACAGCAGGCCTTGGACGTTGATAATTTAGTTTAGATTTGATCACAGTGGTTCGATAATTACATAAATTTCGAGGTATTTCTAATTAAATACGTGCAGAAAATCTGATTTTTAAAACATGACATCCTGAAATTGTAAAAGAAATTCACACCAGATGGCCAAACATCATCACTTTGTGCATAAACTGTTCATGTAAAATAGATAATCTGAACTAAATTATCACACAACGATGTTTAAAAGACGAGATAACAAGACAACAGCCATCTTTAATGAAGAGGGATACAGCCAGAGAGTCGTCGCTAGCCGGCTTGGAATCAGCAAAACAACCTGACAAAGAAAATGCAGCATGACTCCACCAGAAAGGAGACAGAATCAGTTATTCCCAGAGTCGTAGTCTCCAGCAAATTAACTATTTACTGCTGCTTGAGTATCATTTGTTAAGAAGTGCGGGGCTTTGTATGAAGACACGTCTGAGACTTTTTAAAGACGCGTCTGAGACTTTTTAAAGACGCTGTATGTGAGATTTTGAGCAAAAATATAGCAGCAAACAACCATCATTTGTGCAGCGATGTAGTGGAGTGTTGGTGTCTTTGGTGTGTTTGTTGTAATCTGAGCTTCTCGGTTCTGGTTGTTGGTCCGACTACGCTTCAGTGCATGTGAGCTCCTCCCTTTGAAACTCTATGAACAGATCTCCCACATCGTATCATAAAAGGGGAATAAAATAGTTTAATGAATTCAACCAGAGCCTCTAAAAACAAATTATTTTATTTGTTGTTTACCTCATGTATTGCTGTAGACTAACTTTTCCACCAGTAGCACTCTGATGCTCTTCTCTGCTTCTTCTTCTTCTTCTTCTTCTTCTTCTTCTTCACTCGTGTCAGTTTGACTCCAGTCGTCTTGTGTCTGTTTCCACACATGGCGATCAACAAGTCAAGTAAAGACAATGACTTCACAACAGTTTACTCATGTATCTATGCTGCTAGCGATTTCAGCGAGATCAGAGTATTTACGTTTGGGCAGATTGCTCGCCTTCCTTCACGTACCACAGGTTCCGCCTGAGAGCTGTCCCGAATCAAGATGGCCGCCGGTGATCCCGTTCGAAACGCCGCCTTAAGACATCTAGCCTTTATTATACATATCTATGGTCGGGAGGTCAACTACGGCATCTTCCACTTGGTCAAAAGAACTACAAAGGTGTAACAAACCACCAGAAATGCCAACATTGCTGCCGTTTAAATGCAGTCGGTGTCCAGTAATAATAGAATCAATTTAGCCAACATACAAGTTTGTTTGTATCTGGATGCAACTTATTCAAACACACTCATCTGTTGATATGCACTGAGGTAGAAATTTTAAATATACAGCGAACAGTGCATGTAGAGATCACAGTGCAACAGTGTAATCTGCTCTCTCTTGCTAAGTTTAGTTATTTGTGGTCGCCTGCTTGCACCAACATGTGGCACCATCTGTTGACTTGCACTGAAACAAAGAGACTCAGTAGCTCGTTGTTTCAGGTCGGCCAGAGCTGGAAGTCACCTGCAAGGTAAAAGGTTTAATTTGCGGGTCACGTGTTCCTCAAATCAATATCTCATCTTCTTATAATCCCCCTTCGGTACAATGAAAACATGCCACCCTTTATCCAGCGAGAACAAGTTAATTGGTATTCTGGCAGGTGCAAGTTTCTCCTCTTGGGAAGTTTGAGCGGAGTAATTTACAGCGTCTCTCACAGCAGAATGTTGGTATTATTCCTGATATTATTCTTTTGTGTTTGCACTCACTGGAGGATTTAATTCTTCCTCAGTCACAGGTCCGTTGAAGTAAACACTTGTTTTTGCCTTTTACAGGATAATGAAGGACAGACGGCGCTACATTATGGTAAGAAGGCCTCTCGTATTAATCTCCTCAGTCCAAAATGTTGCATACACTCCTTAAACAACGCTATTTATTTTCTTTTCTTGCGTCTATTTTTCAAAAAGGCGGGTGTCTCATTTTGGGAAAACAAAACTCTTCATATTTATCGTGCGCCGACATCATTATGTCGTCTGCGTGCGCACTCTCTTTATATACAGCGGCTTGTTTACTGTACGATCCTGCTCTTTGCCCGGCGCTCGCCTGGAATTCATCATCTTTCCCCTCCTCGTCCTCCCACTCTCTCGCCTCCATCCCTCATCTTTATTTTCCCGCAGTTGTTTTCCACCAAGTTTCTGTCATTTCCTCTCTGCCCCGCGCCGCCGAGGCTCGCGCGCCCTCTGGTATGTGCGTGTGCGCTGGATGTGCGCGTGCAATAATCGCCAGACCTCCCAGAGGAAATCAGCAGCGGTCCTTAGACTCCCCTGACCCTCTCGTGCCCCAACACACATGTCCCTGAGGGGCGGTTCTCATGTCCTCTGAGCCTCTGCTTGTGTGTTCGGCTTCACCATCTGTCCCCCAGCTTTGGTGGCGGCGGTGTGTGTGAGTGTGTGTGTGAGTGTGTGTGTGTATGTGTGTGTGTGGGGGGGGCGAACGTTGCATTACCCGACCAGAGATCTGCACACAAACACACACACACATGAGGAAGCCCCGAGGATGAGGCATAAAAAGATGACTAATAAACATAAGCGATGAACTCCAAGAGACAAATAGCAGAGAATGAAAATTCATTCCCACCTCTCTTTGCACAGGGCCACAGTGGCTGGCAAGTGATTAATTGAGGGTTTACTGCTCACCATAAATTGTTCTCCTCCTCTACGGCTCCCCTGAGGGCTCGCCACTTTTTACAACTCAAGGCCCAGGCGAGACACGCGCCACGCACACCGCCGGCTAAATAAAATACTGTTTAGAGCAACAAGAGGAGGAGGTCTGCAGGCTGGGCTGGCTGCAGGAGGAGGAGGAGGAGGAAGGAAGGAAAACAACCAAAGCAGGCTTTGTTAGGCCGATTTCACGCCTCGTACCGTGACACAACTTGAATGCACACTTGCTGCATTCCGATGTACCGTCATATCTCGTGCACACACACACACACACACACACTCCCAGCAGCAGCCACCTCTGTGCAGGAGGTTAAGAGGCCCGGCTGTCAATCACCGCGGCTGCTGACATCAGCGAACATGGCGCAGCAGCGACTCTGCTCTTTAAGAGGAGCGAGCGATTGACACCGACAGAGGAGAGCACTCAGAACAAGAGTAGGGGGGCGAGGTGCCAGAGGGGCAGGAGGTGCATCAGGAATGAAGGGACGCACTAACTGGGTTAAGGAAGTGCAAGCCGCCGCCGCCGCCGCCACCCCCACCTCCTCCTCCTACACCGAGAGAGAGAGAGAGAGAGAGGAGACCCTTTTAGTGGGGCACAAATTGCCAATGGGGCAGAAATGAAGTGTTTGAGAGAAGCTCAGGTCCAGGCCGGTGTCAGTGCCGGGCCTGCAGATGGGCTTTTCATTACCTGCAGCGCTGCACATACTGTATTAAACTACAGTATGCAGAAGACAGGAATGAGGCAAATTTACACAAAGCTGGTTCACAGCGTGGGAGTTTTAAACCAGCTGCAAGGATGCAGAATTATCCCAATATGACATTTATTCAGCTAAGAGTCAAACAGTTCAAACACGCTCATTGTTTAGCACATTCCCTGCCAAGGTTTGCTTCATAATTAATAATAAATGCACGTGCAGCTGAGACTCGTGGGAGCGTTTAGTCGTGCACAAATAACAATGTTGACCTCACCAAAGTGGTTTCAGTTCACATGAATGTCTGTAACGAACCTCATAGCAATCCCTTCAACAGCTGCTGAGACGGAAAAGTCAGAGCGTCATGAACAAAGTTAGGATCCATCATCTGGGAACCATGAATGTCTGCATCCAGTATGATGCTAATCCATGGAGCAGGCGTTGGGATATTTCACCGGTTAAAAGAAGGCATGTTTTCTTTAAGAATCGCCACCACAAAGGAAGAATCATCAGATTTTCTCATCTTTGACGTGCCACTCCAGTGGAAAACGGAACCAAATATAAGCATAAAAATTAAATTAAAAACCTGTTAAAAATGTGCCCAAATGAACCATTTGCATTAACCAGAGTCTTCAAAAAAAAACATAAAATTCTTCACTCCTCTGCGAAACTCTGAAGCTACAACTGACTCAATTGTGACCAACGGTCATGTGACAAAAATTCTGGGATTTTTTTGGCTGTGTGAACAAAGACAGACCATTTAGAAACAAATTAAAAGTGCTAGTAGTAAAACATCTATAGCATGGAGAGTCACCATTTTTTCCCAGTCTGGGTAACAAAACTTGGAAAAATGTTGTATATGTTGATTCCAGGTCATTTCCAGTATTTGTAAAATAGGAATTAAAGAAATTCAGCCTTCATTTGTTCTTCTTTTATGAACTACAGCCATAGATACGTTGTAGTGGTGCACAAAAGGCTTAGTTGAGTTTTTTCTGCTTCTAGTCGTGGTCGTGCTGTTTCCATAGAAATGCAGCAAAAAATTATCCCTCAGTGATGTTAGGAGCAGAAAAAACATCCAGAAGCTGCAGAAGAGGGTTAACAAACCTCAGTGGGTTTCATCCTTTGGGGATCTTGGATTTCTGTGCAAAACTTTACACATTTCTTTCACATAGTTGTCGATGTTTCAGTTTGGACCAAAGTGGTGAAGCAGCTCATGGATTGTTGTATGGTTGATCCAAACACCTTGCGCAAAGTTTGCATGAATGTTTTGTCTCCTAATTCTTCCCTTGGTGTGGTGTTTATTTATCAACTTTTTCTCCTTTTCGTAGCATCAGCGTGCGAGTTCGCCGACATCGTGGAGCTCCTGCTGAACGCCGGCGCCGACCCGTCCATCAAAGACATGGAGGGTTCTCTCCCCGAGGAGGTCACCGAATCCAGCGCCATCTCCTCCCTCCTGCGTCAGTACACGGCTCCCAAAGGCTAGAGGTCCTGACGCGCCTCCGCCCGGTCATTCCCCAGCCTCCTAGTCTCATCCCCGCTCCGCCCATTCATCCCTCCTTCATCCCCCCGAAGAGACTCTGTTCAGCCCCGGCAGTTTGTAGACTGCAGAAGTTTTGTTTTTGATTTTCTTTCCGAATTCTTGAGGTGAGTTTGTTGGTTTAGCTCTCCTGGGCTGCGGTTGTAAACATTAGTCATTTGATAAGACACTTGAGTTTAAGGGCACCGCATGTATTTTTATTCTTCTAAAATCCTGTAATGTTGATTTATCTGCACAGTGGGGTTGGGTGATATGACGACGGCTGTGAGACTTTGGTCAGCTGGCTGAGATTTTGCTGTACTTAGGTAGCTGTAGCTTCTCTCATCGAGGAAGACCTTCGCTTGCAATATGGCGAATCAATGTCGGGACTGTTTATTGGCAATATTATGACGACAGGACTCGTGCATCAAAGTATCTGGATTTATCAGGTATTTATCTCACCGGAGGAACCAAAAACAGACATTCCCATCCACTTCTTTTCTCTGTAAACGGCATAAGATTCACCATATGCATCATTATCACAGTACAATATGCCATATAACATACATTATACCATGATATATCTACCGCTCTGCATTATACGGATATGTATCACCCACTCCTACTGCTCAGGTCTGACAAGCAGCCAGGCCTTTTAGTCTGGGTCAGCTCCCCTCTGACAGTTTGTTCATATTCAGTTGTGTTACGTACAAAGGAATGCTTTATTCATTTGACATATATCATCATTAAAGTCTTCAGTGAATCTGTTTCCTCTGACATTTTATTCTTTGTTCTAAAAATGTAGCATCAGTCAGGTTACAGTCACACAAACTCACACTGTATTTATTTACACCGGTGTGCCAAAACATTAAAACCACCTGCAGAATATTGTGTAGGTCCGGCTCGATCATCATCGACACCTTGGGCTCTTTGTCGTGCTCCTTGAGATGTTCACGACCAGTTTTTGTGGTGTGAAGATGCTGCCGATGGAATCCTGCTGCCATGAAGAGGTGTACGTCATCTGCAAACGTGTGTAGGTGGGCGGTACGTGTTAACATCACATCCATACGAATGCTGAGGTTTCCCAGAAGAAGTAAGTATTGTAATGAGATGATCAGAGTTTTCACTTCACCTGTTGGTGGGTTTAATGTTGTGGCTCTGGCACTATGAATCCGAAACTCACATCTCACTGATTCCTTTTAGTAATTTTGAGCTTCAACTCAAAAGCTTCATCAGATTAAACTAGAGTTCGTGTTACCAAGAAGGAAAGAACACTTGATGCATGACAATAGAGCAAAGCTGGTGCAGTTATCACAAACACATGATGGAAATAAAAGCACCAAAATACTCCAAAAACATTTTTAAAGAAGTTCAAATAAACACTGATATTTATTGGTGCTTCCACAGAATAGTGTCAAAGTTGTGGCTGGAGAACAGCTGCTAACTAATTACACTATAAGGACTAAAGTATTTGGACACCGACAGGCATTAATATGGATTCAGTTCCTCCTTTTGCAGCTATATTAGCTTCCATTTATCTAGAAAGGATTTCCACAAGAGCACGTGTGAAAACTGTTTCCACAAAGTTGGAACTTCACGTCTAGCTGCTTGATTTTTAACAACTGAATTCAGTGATTAAAAGGTGCATCCAAACATTTTAGTCCATAAAGAACAATAAAAATATGATGTGACAAACCTAGAAAGTGAAATAATATCAAATAAATACCTTGCATTCTTTGCAAACATGCATTTACGTACTCTACCGTATGCATCCAGTAAATGCAAATGCAGGAGCTTTATTATCCATCCATTGTGTGTGAATTGTTTAGCCGGTGCACCTTCATGCACACAACATACGGCTCTCTATGCAGCTCTGCCTCCACTGTTATGTCACATAGGAGCGATCTGGATGTTCTCCAAAAATAACCAACACATGGTCCGAGTCCAAATCTGCTTTACTCGCCCTCGGAGCCCCTCTGATCAGCGTATTCTGTCTGCCTCAGCTCACACACACTCCAGCAGATGAGAATGCACTAAATCTGCATCCCTGTTCTTAACTACAGACTCACCAAGACGCCAGTGCACATTTTGTACACAACAAAGCTTTAATCCTTTACTCTCTAACACACCCCTGAACCCTCGCCCCCCCCACATGTGTTTAACTGAAAATCCGCCTCGACACCCGGCGTTAGATAACCGCCTCAACACGTCAGTCGCTCCCAGATGCGTGGCAGCGGTGGGTCGGTACTCAACACCGCGGGGGCCACACTTCCAATTCGATTCTTGGCCTGACAGCTGTTGTACAGTGCTGCTGCTAAATTGAGATGCAAGCAATGCACGTTATACATGAGATGAATTAAAATGGCTGCACAGAACGTCTGCATCCCGTCCTGCTCAGATCACACAGGAGAAGAGTTTTTTTAACCTAAAAGTACCATCATCCACTTTCGTAGCCAAAGAATGTTCCTCAATGAAATTTCGTGCATCTCTGCTCATGAATTTCGAGGAGGAACCCTGCACGAGTTTGAGTATTCCACCCGAGTCTGACACTACAATCCCACAAAGAGACGACCAGTGACCATCCCGCTCTTATGAATTCCGTCCGCATGCAGCCATTAGGCTCTTGGTGTATCTCTAAAGCCTGTTTGGGTCTCGGCGTTGTCTCCTCGCTGCTTCCTAAACCCCCACGTTACGCTGGCTTGAGGTAAGAGAGGATGACGGCGGTCGTGCTTCCCTCCCGGATCGTCTGCAAGACTCTGACACTAAGCCCATTATGCTTCCATTATGGGGCTTCAATTTTCCTCTGAGCTTTTCACTTTTTGACACGGCAGCTCCCTCCTTCTGCAAACCGCAGACTCACACACTCCCCAAACCCAACGCCGTTCAGCCACTCTGAATGTTTATGCACTTTTTTTTTTGGAGGTGAAAAGTAATAAAGTGCCTTTTTATCCAGTAGTGAGCTACAGTACCAGCTCTTTGCTTTTGTACTTTTAGGGGTTTTTTTTATTCACAGGCAGTTTTAAAAAGGTTTCTGAAGATACAAAACCCAACATAACAGAACATCAACTCAAAAAATCAAAAATAACGTTACTGGTTAATGGTCCACACTTATAAAGCATCTTTAACCTTAGCGAGGTTCTGTAGCGCTTTACAATGTGCTTTTCATTCACCCACTCACGCTTCAGTGATGGAAGAGCTTCAACGTAAGGTGTTCGCCGGCCATCAAGAGCAACCCTGAGTTCGGTTTCGACGCTTGGAGCAGCCAGGGATTGAACCACAAACCTTACGATGAGTGGAAAACCTGCTCTGTCTTGGCAGGGAGTTGCTGCCCCAAAGGAGTTTCTCGGGAAGTTACAGGAAAGTGGATGGATGGATTGGTGCAGACGTACCGGACTGTTGTGGTGAAAAGGAAGCTCAAAGCTCTTGATCTACCGGTCGATCAGGCCTCATCCGCTCTGGTTCGTTCCTGAAAGAATGAAGTCTCAAACCGAATAAGTTTCCTCCATACAGTGACTGAGCTCAGCCTTAGAGATCGAACGAAGTGCTCAGAGTAGAGTTTGCATCTTGAAAGGAGCCAGCTGAGATCCTTCGACTTCGGATCAGGATGCCTCCTTGGCAGTTTTCTTTGGAGGTTTCCCTGTGGTAGACCCAGAAATTGCTGGAGGGGTTTGTGTATCTCATCTGGCCTGGGAACACCTCCGAACCCCCCAGAAGGAGGAGCTGGATAACGTTGCTAAGGAGAAGAACATCTGGAATTAACCTGCTGCTACCAACAACTGAGAATAAACAGACACAATGGATGGATGTGGTAGACATGGGCTCATGTGAAATTAAGGCTGGAAGATCTATTTTAACTGTAGAATATTACAGTATTTTTAAAGAGACTGTTATTTTCCAACATTTCACTTGTTTTTTTTGGTTCCCCAGCTGCCAGAACATGACTGTGTTTAACAGCGTCGCTAGTCAGGAAAACAAGACGTGGTGCAATGTGGAGATAAAGGGATTCAGGTATGCAAATCGGTGCTACTAATCAGATGGACAAAGTACAATCCAAAAGAGTTCAGAAAGACAGAAACCAAACTGGGTTCATCCTCAACTGTTGAGGTTAATCAGTCGGTAAAGAATTGTTAAGAAATCAAAACACGCCTGCTCCTGGATCCTCAATCAGAGACCTGGATCGTGTTATGTATACGGACATATTCAGATAAATAATACAGAAACGGAGCTAAAATAACACTCAGGTAGGATTTAAATGTGCCTTTGTGTGTACGTTGTGCTTTCCATCCTCCTCTCAGCATCTCTCTGCGCTCTGTTCTCTCTCCAGTAAAAGCCACCATGTTGTTGCTTTGGCCAGCTCTTAATGCAACCCCCCACCCTCCCCTCCACACCTTCTTCCTCCTCTTTATGCTGCAGCTCCCCCCTCCACCACCACCACCACCACCACCATCCACCCTCAGCAGCGTGTCTGGGAACCCAACAGTAAGCAGAAATCTCCCTCTGCCGCTGAAACACCTCCCACTAATATCTCAGATTCATTCACTGGAGTCCAACGCTGTGCGAGACTCCGACGTGAAGCCGGGCTGCACGTAAACACAACATGTGGTGTTCGGGGTCGGGATCCGTCCTCCTGCGGGTCGCCTGTCATCTGCACGGAGGCGATTATCGAGTGGAAAAGTCCCGGTTTCGCATTAAAACAAGCACACAACCTTGAGGGTGTCATTGAGAGGCCTCCGTTTGACTCCGGCGCCTCTTTAAGACTCACTCCGTCATCCTGCGGATCATTGTTCACCGCCGGCCGGATGGAGTCGTTTGGGGGAGAAAAATGCCCTGTCTCGATTCTGCAAGATTGACTTTCGGTCCCAAACAAATCTTATCTGTTTTGCATGTTAATTTATTCCCTTTTTGCTTCAGATGAAAAAAAAAAAAAAAAACAGTTTCCTTCAGGAAGTTTGTAATAAAAGCCTGGCGATCGATGATAATGGCATTTGTGCTTGTGTTTGTCATCTTCGCAAAAGCAACAGTGGTGGAGTTTCCACAGATTTATTTGTATACTAGTGCTGTAAGTGGCGTGTAAATTATCCTAACTGTCCGTGTGGCCCTTTATCTTTGTAAGCCCGTACTATTAGAGCCTATCCATTAATGCCCATAGCACAGCCAATCAATGTTTAAATAAAAATCAGCTCGGTTTGTGGCGTTTTATGCAAACGTGCAAACTCCCCCAGCAGGCTGACTCTTTGCTTTTTGTTTTTATAATGCAACAGGAATAGCTAAAACACAAAGGAATCGATAACACTTAGGTTTGGGTTGCGTCGGGCGGCTCTCAGACGAATGCTGCACGTTGCTGCATAGGAATGAGCTTCATACAGATGTAGGCCGTGGTGTAATTTCATTATAATTCTATACATACTTAGCCAACACCGGAGTTACAGGGAATAAATCCACCGATACCGGAGAGGTTTTAGCAACGCGGTGAGGACGATGCTAAACGGCGTTCATGTCCTCTGTAATGACAAGGGTGTTTTTTTACAGGCTACAAATGCACTTAATGTGTTTTTATTTTATTTTAATAGGAATCAGACAGTAGAGATGGAGAATATCTTGCAACAAATGCCGTCGGCTGGAAGCTAAACATGGACGTTGTGGTTTTTGGCTGTAATCTAAATTTAAGCTATTTTCAGGCTGATTAAAATGTCTTCTGTTACGTTAACGTGTGACTTTAAGGACAGTAATGTACATTTTTGGACCGTCTGTCCACCATTTTGGTCCAGA